GAATGGAATTGATATGGAAAACTATACCGTACTTAACATGCTTTTATTGTTATATGTGCCAGAAATCAGTAATAGCTTCACCTTTAATTCCTAAACTTGTAAGATCACAAAATGTAAGCCAGCCTGAGTTAGCTTCTGTAAAAGCTTTTACATAGCCAGTGTCCCCCTGCATTTTATTTCAGAACCTTTATGGTTATTCATTAAATACAGATTACAATGTCATTAACTCAGTGGAAAAGATCAGGGCTGCAGAAATTTGGATTGTTGTTGTACATGAGTTTGGTGGAGGTAGGAGGTCACAGGGGTTTTATGCTAGGAGATGGTATAAAAAAAACAATAAACTTTAAAACTGGCTCCTCGTTATCAAGTAAAAACTTCATGACAATAGAGGAAGTGCAGTCTACTTTGTTGTCAAAACCAAATGATAAACTCTGGTCTACCCAAATCCCCTGCCCACATAAAAGTTCTTAATACTTTTGCCTTACCCACAAATTACAGGCTTTGAGAAAGAAAAGAGTTTTAACATGTCACCCCTTTTAATTAAAGATAAATCAATAACACAATAAACACTTCTTTAGATGAGAACTAATAAACTGCTATTTTAATTTCAAGTACATCCTCATTGAGTACTTTATTTTGCAGGTGGTCAGTTACTCCCTTGATGTATCCAGCTTCTTACTTGTTCAATGTTCCCAGCACAGCATATGTATCTCTATCCTGCATCAATCTTTTCATTGGAATCAACAGTAGTGCTGCCACGTTTATTTTAGAGCTCTTTGAAAATAACCGGGTATGTAGAAAAAAGTACTGCTTTTATCTCATAGTCAGAACTTGAAGCTGTCAGCCAGTGAAACACTTAAAAGTATTCTACATGCTGCAATGGATTAAGTTGTGTCCCAAAAAGAATTAGTTCCAGCACATAGCGGAAATTAATTTGTGCTGAACATATACTGTATTACACACCAGTATCAAATAAATCTAATTTATATTTTGGAGTTAACAGCTCATTGATAGTTTTCAGCTTCAGACTTTAAGTTCTTTGATTTAGTTAGTTGAAAAGGTAACACTTTTTCTTGTTTGCAAATGCTCTGTTTGATGTTGCAGATGCTTTTGAAGCTTAATGACTTGTTGAAAAAGGTACT